CCACCACCGCCCGGCTCCTTTTAATTGGAATTTTAATGAGAGCACTTTTCTATTCTCTCCTATCTTCATTGTTTAGAGCAGTGAATGGCACGTGGTACATATTCCATGTATTCACTGCACAGGAAATTTCATTATGTGTGCATTTTTTAAAAAAGCAGTTTTCTGAGACTTCAGACATTTGAAATTTTAAAAATTGGTAGACTGCCGCATCATTAAAATATTTGTGCCCATTAAAACTTTAGAACAGGCCTGATAGCACAAGCCTATAATCCCAGGAGGTTATAGAGTGGGTTCAAGACCAGCCAGGGCAATTTAATGAGACCCTGCCTGAAAATTCAAAAAAATCAAAGAGGGCTGGGGATCTGGATCAGTGTAAGGCCCTTGCCCAGCAGGCATGAGACACCAAGTTCCTTCTAAAGTACTATAAATAAATAATGTTTTCCAGCTGGGGAGATCACCCAGTCCATAAAGTGTGTGCTGCTCAAACTTGAGGAACAACATATAACCCACACAGAAAAGCATGACCTGGTAGAAAAGCCCACCTGTAATCCTCAGCACTGAGAAGACAGAGGCAGATCCTAGGGCTCGTTAGCCAGACTGCCCAGCTTCATCTGTTAGTACCAGGTCCCAGGGAGGAAATGTACCTTAAAAAACAAGATGGGTAGCTGTTCATAACCTGTAGTTGACCTCTGGCCTCCACATGCATGCATGCATGCATGCACACACGCACGCACGCACGCACGCACGCACGCACGCACATGCACGTGCGCATACACGTACATGAATGAAAAAAAGAAATAAAAAAGGAAATGATATGACTGTTCCTAGGTATGGTGGAGGAGAAAGTTTATTGTAGATAAAAGGGAGAGCATAGCCAGAGGCAGAGACATCTGGGAGAGCCCAGAGTGAACATGGCTGAGCTAGGCCATGTGAGGAGAGAGGGTGAAGGGAGAAGAGGAGCTGCTGACCTAGAGGGAAATCCTGGGCCCAGAGACTGGCCAAGAGAGTAAAGGGTAGACCAAAAAGTGCAGGTAACCAAAATGTCTGGATTATATAGAGAAGGGCAGCTGGGGGAAGGGCAGCCCAGCAGGTGGGCTGGAGAAGTTTAGGTAGGGGGTGGGGTCTGCCAGGCATACCCTGTAACAGGTAGGGATGGAGGGATGCAGGGAGAACTTGGTTGGTGGTCACCGGCTGCTTTGATATGTTAATGGCCACCTCAGTTAGCCATTTGCCCCCAGTTTGAGACCTAACAGTACACACACACACACACACACACACACACACACACACACACACACATACACGAACTGTAATGAAGACATCTGACAATGTGACAATAGCTAAGACATTAAGAAAAAATATGCAGAAACAAAAATTGGCTTCCTCATATATTGCAGTAATCTTACTCTGGTGATAAAAAAGGAAAAGGTTTTGGAGTGTTTATTTAAGGCCCAGTTAGGTAGATAGCACTACCTCTCCTGGTACGTTCCCTTTGTGTCATTTCTGATAACCTGACCTCTTCGACTCTTAATGCATCAGAGAAGACATAATATGGTTAAATCTCAAAAGGATCTCTAGAGGCCACAGGTACAGGGCATGGCAGCCTTCCAAGGCCACAGAGGACCCATCTACCTCTGGCGATGTCGAGGGATCCTCCCCGAGACTTCTTTAGCTACTAAAACCATTCCGAAAGCAAATGGCTTCTTGTGAATAGACCCAGAGAGGAGAGCAAATGTTGCTGCATTGGACAAATGTGAGTCCTCCAGCCTCACTCCGTGCTTTCTTTTCAATTTAGCAGCAAGGCTTTAGTTACTGACAGCCCTTATTCTATGTCCAGTGTTGCTCCCACAGGGGTCTACGATTCGTTGACATCCTCATCAATTCCTACCTCCCAAAGCTGTCATGCCTTTGAGCGTTAAAAACAGGACGCTGGCCTCAGCTTTTCACTGTTTTCAGTCATTTAAACAAAACTGTAAGCAAATATATTTGAATGGATTTTAGTTTTTCTCCCCGTGGATGTTTTATATCCTCAAGTCTTTTGCTTTGTGGTACTTCTTTTTTCTTGCTTAGCCAGTGGTTTTGTAGGAGTTTTTTGTTTGGAAACTGAATCTTGTTAAATACTGCTAGCTGGCCTGGAACTATGTAGGCCAGGTTACCCTCAAACAATTCTGCCTTTGCACTCAAGAACTGGGATTACAAGTCACTCTGTAGGGTTTATCATCACTAATCCTTCTGTTTCTCTAAGTTTCAACCAGTGTCGGAAGAGAATGTTAAAAGTATGACCTTACTTCATCTTCAAAACAGCACAGCAAAGTACAGGTCATGGACAGTGAAACCATTCTCTGCAGACAAAAAGAGCAAAGGTCTCTGACCTTCGGTTGCTATTAGTGTTGTCAGTGGGGAGTTTCCAACTTGTCATTCTAAAGCCTGGGCTTTTTCTATGCACTTGCTGTACTCTGAGAGGGCAGTCTTTTTTTTTTTTTCCCCCCCGAGACAGGGTTTCTTTGTGTAGCTTTGCGCCTTTCCTGGAACTCACTTGATAGCCCAGGCTGGCCTCGAACTCACAGAGATCCCCCTGGCTCTGCCTCCCGAGTGCTGGGATTAAAGGCGTGCGCCACCACCGCCCTGCTTGAGAAGGCAGTCTTAAAGAACAGTTGGATGTGGATGTCCTCAGTTAAGAAAGATTTCGTCTTTTTTTTGGTTGCTCAGTGTTGATTAACGCCCCGCCCCCCAGTCTCAAGTAGTCCAAACTGGCTTTGAACTTCTGCACCTAGTGCCTTAACCTCCCGGATGCACCACCACTCCACGATTATGGGGTGCTGGGGATTGAGCACAGGATTTAGTGCATGCCAGGCAAAGCATCCTACCAACCGAGACACTATCTCACCCTGATTGCTTCTCGAAAAATACTCTTCGAAAATGGTAAAGGGTTGAAAAGAGAGGTGTAGTGTAGGCGCTCTAGGGGACGGCAGGGGCTGATGGCAGAGTCCCCTTGCTCCGGAAGGCTGATAGGCCCGGGGGAGGGGGCGGGGGGGAGTGCAGTCTGTTTAACCGGTTTCTGTGGTCCCGGAAAGGCGTGCCCTAGTCATACAGAGCCCCCGGGCGCACGAGGTTCCCTGCAAGTTCGAGCTGGGGGCCACACCTCCAGAGCTTCCCAGGACCCAAGGTGGGGGGGGGATAGGTGGGCTGGGAGCCAGGGTGCGCATTGGGTCTTGCACGGTGGACCCTCAGGCACATTGGACCCTGTCCCTCCACTTGCCCGCCAGGGTTCTCGGATGGGCCTTGACTCTGAATGCATAGAGTGGGGCTTTCTGATTGGCTTAGAGTACAAACGCAGGCGAGCACCGCCAGAGACCCGCTCTTCTATTGGGTTTTACATGAACAGCAGAGCACGAAATAAAGAGGCCTTCTGTCATTGGGCCATTGTGTGAATCTCCTTTTGCCTTCTCTGCCGACTGAATTAACGTCCCAGGATTTTCGTCATGACTCTTAAATCTGGGCTTGTCAGTTCGGCCCAGCGTTCCAGGTCTCTAGGCACAGCATGGGACTTTCAGAGTTTAGCCAATCACATAGCGTTGAGATCAGGTTGCCAGGCAGATTATGCTAATAAGACCCCGCCTTTTATGCTGCTCCCACTCTGCGGCGGGAAGAACCACCTGGAGGCGGCGGGGGGGGTTTGATTTCCATCACCCCTAGGGAGAGAGGATCCGGGACCCGCTGATCTTCCAGCTCCCCTCACCCCACGTCGTGTAAGTACCTAAAGGATTAAGGGAACCGGATAAACCAGGGTCCAGAGTATCCCATCGCCTGGGAGAGTGTTTCGTCTTTGCTTAGTCCCACCCAAAATGGCGCCCAGCTCTTTCTGCGTCTCAGCGCCCGGCCGGGGCCAACCGACCGCGGACCCGGGTGGGGGGGGACCTGATGGTAGTGGTGGGGGGGAGCAATCCCGGCGGCACCGCCCGATGGTACAGTCCAGCCGGGGCTGGGACGAGGCACCTCGCTCGGGGTGGGGGGTCAAACCATCTGCACCTTCTACGCGAAAAGGGGCGAGGCCCCTCCGGGAAGCCGCCCGGGCCC